AAAAAATTGCAATTATTCCCACTACGCCACAGAGTAATTTCAAAATCATTATTGTAGCGCCTCGGAAAAGTTAATAATATTAATCCAAATTAATTTACTGTAGGCCGCGGCTGTATGATCTCCTACGAATGATATGGTGCGGTAGCCGGCGGTCTAAAAATTATCAATACCTAATTATTTTTATACGGACGCCGGCGGCCGCATGGCAGTCAACTTGTAAAAAAAAAAGAATTTAATAATAATTTAAATTTAGTATGCAAGTATAATAATTACCAATTAAAATTAAGTGTTGACAAGATTCAGTTAAGGACGCAACTATGTGTGACTCTAAGACTTCAGCAGCTTCTTCCACAATAACTGCAAATTTTAAAATAATATAATATATAGCAAATAATAATAAAAAAATCTAGTATTTAATTTAGTATTAATGAAAATTCTATATCTAATTTAATATTTTGGTATTTATATCATATACTTATACTAATATACATGAACTAACAGCAAGCCGGTATAAATTTGAATGCCTTAGATTTTATTGAAATAGTAAATACTCAAGACATTTTAATACCTTTTTTCAATTTATTATTTAAAAATCATCAACTTTGGTTATGATATTTTATTAATATAAGATAATTTTAGCAACAGAGTTTAATCATCATTAATAATATTAAATTTAAATATAACTACATTTCTGTATTGAAAATATTATGTTTTAATGTTTAAAATTAAAATAAATAAAAAATAATAGCATAATAWTAAATTTGATATTAATTTACTAACAACATACTTATAAAATAAATATCTCAACTAACCTATAGGGGGTTTTAGTTCCAACAACAGAGAATGTCTCATTGCAGCTCCAGTAGTAGTGAGTCCGACTACATATGATTTACTCAAATGCAATAGTGCTGAAGGACACTTAATATTTGCTAATACATGCGATTTTAAAACAACAGATTTACATCCACCACCAATTCTTGTTATTTTTTTAGTGATATTAATTAAACCTTCAAGAAATTGATCTAAAGCATGATTTGTATAACAAACAACTACAATTGGTTTTCTGAGTATATTTGTTTCATACATATTCTCTATAATACTCCTGGCTATTCTAAGACCAATATATGTTTTTCCAGTACMAGGAGGTCCTTGAATTACAGTAAATTCTTCAGTTAATGCCGCTTTAAATGCCATTCTTTGAGCACAGTCAAGTCCTAGAACCTTGTTATCAGGCCAAAGTTCATCATTTAAAATATTAAACTGTGAACCATTAATATTGTATATTTTTGAATTATATTTTAAGTATGCCGGAATTTTAGGTTTAGTTTTTCCATATACAATATACGATTTCATTGGAAAGTTATAGTGGTCAAATGTCTTCAAAACACTCATACTATGCATGTAAGGTAAAAAATATGCATCAGATTCAGCCATAGTATAAGAAGAATTCAATTTAATTGATGATTTATCACCCAAAGGCTGAATTGATAATGTTTTTATTGGTGATACTATTTGTGGATTCATTCTTATAACTGTAGCAAAAAACATTGAATTAAAATTATCATCACTAAATACCAACAGTGATTCAAACATAAATTTTTTTGAATTAATTGAGCAATCTTCTTTAGTGAAAAAATGTACTAAAAAAGTTTCTTTTTCTTTATAATACTTTTTTGTAATCTTTGCTTCAAAATAAATACGCATATTTGGCATCTTTGTAACGCATTTTTGGTTAAGTTTA